CCATCCGCCGTGGGCCCTGGCTACCCGACCTGCGTCCATTTTGTTGGGGAGCGCTATCCCCGATTCTGTCCATCTTCCTGCTTCGTATCACAGATTTTTCTCTCTTGATTGCAGGCCTTTTGCGGGAGGACCCTCTTATCCAGCATCACGAAATCGCTTCAGACGCTCCGATAAGCATGTGAGCGACCGGGTTTCGAAGCAGGCTTCTCTACGCAGTTTGCCATCATGCCATTGATGACGGCCGTCAAGTCGGACTTGGTCGATTAGACTCGGCCGGAATCCATCAGACGGCATTGAAGCGCCTCTCCCGTCTTCCACGTTCCTCAGTGGCATCATACAAAGACACACCTGGGTGGCCCCCTCAACAGCTGCGCCCAACCAGACATTCGACTGCAAATGGGCGACATGTTCAAGTCGTGCAGTGCACCGCCGAAAGCCAACCACCCCGCAAACTCCGATGTTCGCAACTGCCAACAGCCTGGAAAACGGATACTACCAGGAAGGAGCTTGCGCGTGTGCTCGCAGAACGGTCAACAATTTTCTGCGCAGATCGACTCTCACATGCATTTTTCAGACACTCTTGACGATTTTCCCAACAAATTCGGCCTTCAGAGGCAAACGCGGCCCCAACTTCCGTTTTGAACGCTCTTGGCCGCCAGACCGCCCATCGCCAGATGACACCCCGCGCCCCCTGTAGACGGATGCTGGACCCGCCATTGGACCCTGAAAAATTCCACTGGACGTCTGCAGACTGCAGTCCGTTAGAGGGGAAGCCAATCTGGCATTTGGCCACTGACACCCTGCCGCCGTCGGGCTTGCTTCTGCTTGCCTGCCATGTCCTGGATGGTCCGCTCGCCCGGTTTTGCCGGTCCCTTGGCGATGCTGGACGACAAGCCGATGCGCTACCGAGTGACAGACCCGAGCCCCTGGTCTAGGCTGTCCCAACGGCCCCGTCGCCGGCCCGGACCCAATGCCTAGTGTCCGGCGAGATTGACCGTGGCGCCGGCTCACTAGCGAGCTGTCAGCCACGGAGACCGCCGACTTGGCCGGGATGAGTGGTTGCGCCATGTGCGGGACCCAGGACACGGAGTCTGCGCCTCCGGGTGAGACGAACTGAGGATGGACTTCATGTAGCGCCCGGAAGCTTCCAACGGCCAGCCAAGTTGCATGGAAGGCTGCGACATCGAATGTTGCTCATGGTTTCGATGAAGCATATATCAAGCAACAGACGAGCAGGTTCGACTGACGGACGATTGTAGAATCATGAGCATTTCCAGTTCTGTACTGTTCATGCGAGCCGAGGTTGAGCCCTCCCCGGCCGTAAACTTGCATCATCGATCTGCCCCACAGGATCTTGAATCTCACCACAGGCATAGCAACGTACGATCGGCACCTACAGCTGACCCGGCATCTTCCTGTTGGCGCAACCTCGAACCACTGCCAGATCTGCCCATTGAAGGTTGTCCGGAGTCAGATTCCCGACAGCCCGGCTCCCAGGTGCGCGGCTGTGTCGTTTTGAAACCAATGCGTTCTTCCAAGACACCAGCAAACATGCGTTGCAGCCGCGCTCTAGTCATTTCAGCCCTTCAGCAGTCGGCCGGTCCCGTGTCGGGCGTCCGGTATTTCACTTCAGTACCTGTGGTGCAGCTTGTTGATCGCATTAAGGTGCTCTCTCTGTCACATTAGCTGGGCTCTCGGCCTCCCACTCAAGCCGGCTCCGGCTCCGTTCCCCGCACGATCAGCTCGACTCAGCTTCTCTTACTCGCACTAACAACCTGGCGTGAGGTTGCATGCACCCAAGTGCCGCGCCATTGCTGCACCCCGCCTGCATATCTGTTCTGACAGCTCCGTCACCCAATGTTGGTGTGAAGTGTTTGTGCAGACGGCTCGAACTCCAAGACAATCAAAGTCATTTGGAAGCTAGGATGGGTTCTAGAGTGACCCGTCAAATCTAGCGATGCCAAAGCTCTTTGACCTCTTGCAGGCATCCCGGATTGGGCCTAGGCATTTCGGCTGGGAGAAGCAAGCAAGCAGACGCGATGAAAATGGAGGCTGGACGCCTCTTTGCACAGACCCCGCATCCATGGGAAACACGCACCCCTGCAGGACCACCATGCGAGCAGCAGGGGGCAACCAACGACGTCTCTTTGCTCCCACACAGCCCAGCATCAGTCGATCATGAGCTTCCGAGGTGCTTTCCCTCGCTCATGTCACTGAAAGTATACCTTATCCCAAGCTCCCCCTCACCCGATTGTTTGTAAATCTACTGCACGTCAACCCCCTCAATCGATAGGTCTCTTTACCGTTGTATCCGTGTGTACCGCCAAACGCCTCTCGCCATCCCGTATCAACAACAACTTCCGTACTTGCTCACGATGGGTTTGCCGGAAGAGGTCTCCAAGCTTGAGCTTCCGGTGCTGCCGACCTCTGACTTTTGGAACGAGACGCAATGGAGCGTTCTATTTTCCTTGCTCGAGGCGGCGTTGCCGTCCATCGCGCGGCCCGCGACCCTCTCAGACAAAACGAACCAGGTCCGAGTGTCTGAGGCCGAATATGCGCAAGCTCTCCAGCTGGTCCAGAATACTATGAAGAACCCCCCGTCAGAGGAGAAGTTTCAGGAGTACCTAGCACACTGTCCCGCGAAGGAACCCAAGTTCGTCGAGAGCGTCACGAGAACCCTGGCCGCGCTGCCTAGTGCTGCCCAGAAAACGCTGGGTGGTGCAATGGGCGCGTTGGGGTATGTAGCGAGCCACCCGTCCTACCATGGATGATTGAGAACATACGAATGGGGCTGACCAAATGAAAGAACCCGCACCGGTACCTGGTTTCTCACGGGTTACTGGACCCCGGCCAACCAGCAACCGCTCTACGTTCGTGAGAGGATGCTCAAGGCGTGGCAGACCTCCAGAGTGCCGACTATCCGCGTCTTGTCAAAGTCACTATGTCTGCTGGCCCAGAAGTGCGCCGTGCAGACCAGCCCCCTGTTCAGAGAATTGACTGACTACACCGACATGCCTGATTTCCAGACGCACGGCGAGGGCTTCGACTTTAATTTCATGCAGTTCGAGTCGTCAGCCTCACCGGCCATTGTCGAGACCGACGTCGTCATTGTTGGCTCTGGCTGCGGAGGCGCCGTCGCTGCCAAGGTCCTGTCTGAGGCGGGCCACAAGGTGCTCGTCGTAGACAAGTCGTACTATTTCCCGCCCTCGCAGCTGCCCATGACTCAGGACACGGGGTGTCAGTACCTGTACGAGAACGGCGGCTTCATCACCAGCGATGACAACTGCCTCAACATGGTTGCCGGGAGCTGCTGGGGAGGTGGTGGCACCGTCAACTGGAGCGTTAGCTTGCAGACCCAGGGCTTTGTGAGAAAGGAGTGGTCTGAGCAGCGCGGCCTGCCCTTCTTCACCTCGCCGCAGTTCCAAAACTCGTTGGACAAGGTATGCGATTTCATGGGCGTCAGCGCCGACAAGATCAAGCACAACCACCGCAACAAGGTGCTGCTCGACGGGTCCCGGAAGCTCGGGTGGCACGCGGCCACGGCCCCGCAGAACACCGGCGGCGCGGAGCACTACTGCGGCCAGTGCCACCTCGGCTGTGGATCGACGGAGAAGCAGGGTCCCACCGTCAGCTGGCTTCCGGCGGCGGCGGCGTCTGGAGCTAAGTTCATTGAAGGATTTGAGGTTGAGAAGGTTACTTTCGACGAGTCCACAGGCTCGAAGCGTGCGACCGGTGTCGTCGGAAAGTGGATATCGAGGGATTCCAACGGAAACGTGAGCACGCCGGTGGAGCAGAGGACCACGAGGCAGGTCATAATCAAGGCCAAGAAGGTCATCATGTCTGCCGGCTCTGTGTCGAGTCCTCTCGTGCTGCTGAGGAGTGGTCTCACTGTGAGTCGCGGTTTCTCACGACTAAGTCTATTCTGCTGACCAGGTACTAGAACCGACACATTGGACGCAACCTCTACGTTCACCCCTGCAATTTTGTCGGCGGATATTGGAAGGAGGATGCAAAGCCATGGGAGGGTAGGTCGCAATCACGCCAAAGTGTACGCAGAAGACTGACATGTGCAGGTGGCATCATCACAAGCTACTGCTCTACATTCGAAGATCTGGACAAAGCAGGCCATGGTGTGAAGCTCGAACCAACCTGCATGATCGTACGTGTTCCAGCATCCTCCTTGAACAGGCCCTAACACGCCCGCAGCCCTACGCGATTCTCTCAAGCATGCCCTGGCAGAGCGGGCTCGCCGCGAAGATGGCCGAACTTCGCTTCCGCCACTTTGGCGCCTTTATCTCCCTGACCCGCGACCGCGATCCGGGCCGCGTGTACCCGGATCCCGTCACCGGCCGCCCGCGTATCGACTACGTGGTGTCGGACTTTGACCGCGCCAACACCCTCGAGGGTGTTATCGCCCTCGCCAAGATCTGCTACGTCGAAGGCGCGTCCGAGATCCACGCCTTCTTCCCCGGTCTTGCGCCTTTCGTCAAGGAAGACCACGCCGAGCCGCCCGAGAAGTCCATGGCTGACCTCTCGTCGTCCTCCCACGAGAATGGACTGGAACACGACGGCACGCTCGACGGCGTCAACGACCCCAAGTTCAACAGTTGGCTGGAGGAGGTTAGAAAGGTGGGTAACGCGCCGCCCGTGGCCATCTTCTCGTCTGCGCACCAGATGGGGACGTGCAGGATGGCGCCGAACGAGGACGAGGGTGTTGTAGGGCCCAAGGGACACGTCTGGGGCACAGAGAACCTGTTTGTTGCAGATGCGAGCGTGTTCCCAAGCGCCAGCGGCGTCAACCCGATGATTACCAACATGGCCATTGCCGACTGGATCGCGGCGGGAATCGCAAAGGAGCTGAAGACGCAGGCTTGATAGAGCTCTGTACATACACGACTGTAGAATTGTGTGCGAATACCCGAATGAGAGAAGTGGGACAATCTTAGTTGTTCCAATTCAGATCTAGACTAGTTGTTTTCGTGTGTCACCTGTGAGCCGCATCACGGCATCTCCCACCGCCCACTCTTCCCCCCGTCCTTCAACACAACCCTCAACCCCCCAATGACCATGCCCTTGTCCACCGCCTTGCACATGTCGTACACGGTCAACGCCGCTGCCGAAGCAGCAGTCATGGCCTCCATCTCGACGCCCGTCTTGCCGTCGCAGCTGACCGTCGCCTCGACGTTCAGCACCGTCTCGTCCTCGCGCTCGGATGCGGGCTCCAGCTCGACGCCGACGTGCGACAGCAGGATCGGGTGGCACAGCGGGATGATGTCCGGCGTGCGCTTGGCGGCCATGATGCCCGCGACGCGCGCCACACCGAGGACGTCGCCCTTCTTCATCTGGCTCGCGCGCACGAGGCGGAGGGCCGTCGGCGTGGAAAAGGTCACGGCGCAGACTGCCTTGGCGACGCGGGCGGTCGGGGTCTTGGACGAGATGGAGACCATGCGCGCCGAGCCGGTTGGGGACACGTGGGTCAAGGTGGGACCCTGAGGGGCAGCGGCATCGTCTTCCGGTGAGCGTGAGCCCCGTCGCAACGGCGTGGAGGAGAAGAGGCGGGCTTGGTGGGCGTACGTTGTCGGGACGAGCAGGTGGGTTGGTACTCTTGGGACGCCTCGGGGACGCGAGGGGACAAAAGACCTAGACCCAATCAAGTCGGACATCTCAGGCGCACGAGCTGAAAGAGACGGAAGCGGTTGAGAATCTAAGGGACAGCTATATTCAGTCTCCCGTCATGTACATCGGTTGATTCATGAGCCCCGTAAAAGCCGCGCCCAGCCGTGGTATACAACGCCGTTTCATGCAAACCAGACTCCCCTCCGAAAGATGATGGGAAGGCCGTTACCCACCTATCAAGATCATCGGCCTGTTCTTCATGTGCTCCAGCTCTCCAATGCCCGCGTGCTTCTCCTTCTTCCTCTTGACCGCCATGCCAATGACGTCGAGAAGCTCTGCCTCGTTAAGCGCCGTGCCCAGCGGCTTCTCGGCGTCTGCCAGCCCCTGCCGACGGTCCATCTCGATCTGTTTCATTGCCTCGAATGCCTTTTCGTCAATGGGGTCGCCGTTGTTCGACTTGCGCAGAATGTCCCGCAGCGAGACCTCAGTGTTTCCAAAGAGACAAACTTTAAGGTTTCCGTCGCTGGTAATGCGCAGTCGGTTACAGGTGCCGCAAAAGTTGTGCGTCATGCTCGTGATGAATCCTATCTTTCCAGCGTGTCCCGGTATGCGCCAGGTCTTGCTCGTGTCGTTCTTGTGGTCCTTGACCTTCTCCAGCGAGGGGAACTTTTCCCTGATCATATCCAGCATCTCGGCATAACCCAGCATCTTGCCCTGGTTCCACTTATTGCCGTCAAAGGGCATGTACTCGATGAAGCGTACCTCGACGTCCTTTTCCCGTGTCATCTTGACAAAGGGGACAATCTCGTGGTCGTTGCGGCCGCGCATGACTACGCAGTTGATCTTGAACTTGATGCCCGCGCCGTGCTTGTTGAGCTCAAAGATCCGGTCGATGCTCTTTTTGACGGCGTCAAACCCGTTCCTCCTGGTCATGATGGTGAACATGTGCGGATCCAGAGTATCGAGACTCAAATTGACGCCAGTGAGACCGGCCTCCACCATGGAGTCAAGCTTTCGATGCAGTGACAAGCCGTTGGTGGTGAGGCATAGCTCCTTCAGTCCGTGGGGCCTCAACGCCCCGATCTGGTGCATGAGCGGCACGATATCTCGCCGCACCGTCGGCTCTCCCCCCGTCAGCCGGATCTTGGAGACTCCTTGTGACACAAAAACGGAGGACAGCAGTACAATCTCGGGGGTCGTCAAGAGTTCCCTCGTCGGCGATAGCGGCACCCCCTCTTCTGGCATGCAGTACACGCACCGGAGGTTACAGCGTTCCGTAACGGAGATGCGGAGGTAGTCGTGCTGCCGGTGAAAGTTATCGGTGAGAAAATCGGAGAAGGGTTTCGCATCCTTTATGAGTTCGCGGCGTGATAGTGGTCGTCGTTGGGTGTTCGGTGTGACCTGAGCTGCAGCGGCCGCATTCAGACACCGCGCCTGCGTCGTCCACACCAACTGCGACCTACTATTCCGTGGCATGCGCCCGCTGCGCAGCGCCGTGCGAGGCAGCATGCTGTGTCTCATGGTGGCGGCCTTGAGGGATGTTACGAGTCGGACAGAATGGATGTAGGAAAGGGACGCAGGAAGACAGAGAGGAAGGAAATGGCTGTGGCTAGGCGTCCTTCACGCTGCGCGATCCATCACTGATATGACATTCAGCACGGCGAGGAAGTACGTAAGAAGATGTCTTGAAAGATGGCAACTTTGCTGGAGCTGGGGTTGCTCGATTGATATGCTATCAGGGCAATGAGAGAGCCTTCTCCGAGGTTTGAGATATGTGACCAAGGTGAGTCAGCATTGGCGTGGCGATTACCTATTTGACCGAGTTTCGAGCCTACTTGAGTTAAGGGCGCATTCGACACTGAGAGGAAGGCGGGGGATGGAGGGGAACTGCTGCTGATTGCTGAAGGACCGACGCACAGGTCACCGGGTTTGGCGGAGTTGAGCGAAAGCCAGCGGTCCTCCGGCCTACCTAGGTTAGTATGGACGGGCGGTTCCCTTCGGCCCTGCAGTCTTCAGTGTGTTGGCCAAGCTAGCACCTGCCAGTTGGTTGCCAAATTACCATCGCCCTGATTGGGCAGCTGCCCGTGGCGGTCCTGCCCGCACCTCGTGGTGGACCGTGCTGATAGCTGCCCGGCGACCAAACAGAGGAGGCCGGAGCCCCGCACTAGTCTCGGATAGGAAACGAGGTAAACAACGTTGGCGACGATGTTTCCTTCCGTTCCATGCGACACCGGCTTTTCTTCAAGACTCCACCGAGACCCCAGACACTTCACATGCCGGATTCTTCAACTTGAGAAAAAGGAAGCTTCCACCATTCGCGAATCTCACCTCCCTTGTCTCTACCTGTCTCAGGCCTTTCCGTCCTGGGAAAAGCGAACCCCCTGACTTCCGAACATCACCACTCCATATCGACGACACCTCAACGCTAACGCGTGAGTGCCATGCAGCATGCACTTCTCCAGGATCTTCAAATGTAAGTCGGCCCAAGGGTGTGCCTCACTTGTTGCTGACACGACTTCCGGTAGCATCGCCTCACTGCGTCGCAAGTCCTGATGGAACTCTGATCGCAACCCTTACTACTGGCAGCATCAGCTTCCGGTCTATCGAGACTTTGGAGACATCCCACAGCGTCAGGCTGCCTTCAAAACTCGGCCCAGCAAACGCCTTTCTGTGGTCTCCGTCATCGCGTCGCGTTCTCGTCAGCTTTGCCGAATCCATCCATGTCTACTCGGCCCTCGAGTCCGGCTATCGTGCTGTCGTCCGCAACCCTGCTTCACCAAACTTCAAGCCGACCTTTGTTCAGTTCGGCGCCTCGGACAGTGAAATCGTCATGTGCTCTTCCTTTGGTCTGAAGTTTTCTGTGTTCGACCTCACGACATCGAGAGCAGTCGAGATCGGCAGCCCCAAGTTTCATCAACCGACATCGGCGCCCCGAGGATTCGCTCTTCGACCTGGTTCGGGCCACTTGGCTCTGTTGACCCGCGTCGCTGGAAAAGACATTGTCAGCATTCACCATCCCACAACGAGAGGGGTTCAGAGATCCTGGCACCCAGAGACGGTCGACGCGCAAGGCTTGACCTGGACTCCAGATGGCCGCCGGCTTATAATGTGGGAGTCTGCAGCCCAAGGCCACAAAGTCTTGTTTTACACTGCAGATGGGCACCTCCTCAACACATGGTCTGGACCGTCTGCCTTCGAGCCTGAGGAGAAGCACTTCGATCTGGGCGCGGGGGTAAAGGTGTGCCAAGTCAGCCCAGATGGTGCTCGCATTGCCGTGTGCGACCACACCCGAAATGTCTGCATCTTGGACACCAAGCCAGCGACTGCATCAATGAGGCTTGAGCATCCTGCAGCCATCGTTCCGAAGGATACCGTTCAGGTGGGTGACGCAGGATTCGAACTTGCAACTTCGCAGGCTAATGAAGAGCGGTAGATCTGGCAAGAACAAATCGGCAATGCCCAACTAGGCTCAGCTCACACATTCGTAAAGGCCACACAATCGGTCTCTGCTCCTGGCCGAGTGAGTGGTGGAAGCGTCGAGACCAAGCCAAACCGTACCTTGGCCGTCTTTGATGCCTCGTCGACTCTTCTAGCCACAGCCTTGGAAGACTGGCCAAGCACGGTTTGGGTCTGGGACATCTTGTCATCGGAGCTTCGAGCTGTCCTCGTATTCCACGGCAATATTTCGGCGTTGACCTGGCACCCAACGCAGCGCGAGCTGCTCTCCATCACTTGCGAGGGCGATGGCTACGACGGCCTGGTGTTCACCTGGGATCCCTTATCTGATGGACCCAAGACAATTGACTTTGTAGCACAGCTACCCGACGCAAAGTTGTTCGGCAAATCGCAGGTGTCCTGGCTCAATTGGGCCGGTGACTCTGCCGTGCTTCTGATGGGGGATACAAAGCATCGCCTCATGGTCTCCATGTCCGAATCCGACACCTACGGAGCTCCTTGGCAAGACGCGCAGCGCAGTGACTTGACAATGACGACCGGGAAGGACGAAACGCAGCTGGACCCAACTGCGTTCGCCGAGTTCGACGAGGACCTGTCCAATTTAGACATGTCAGAAGTGGACGACACCTTCTCTTTCAAGAAGATTTGATCGATCGCTCGTTGGCTACAACCTCGGGTCCGAGCCAGCTGCGGATACGCAGAGTCTCAGTCCAACCAAGTGGCCAAGCCAAGACTTTGGTATTTTCATGACCCAACTAGGCGGTCTTGATTGGTTTCCAGCCACCCGCGTGTATAGATCATTGCAGCCGGGAGAGTAATCAGATGCATGGCCACTAAGATCCGTGGATTGACGTCTTCTGGGGGTCCTGTTCAGCTTGGATCATTGCCTCGCAACCAAATCCTGCACGAGATCCATTGGGGAAACCCCAAAAGTCGCAGACTGTCACTGCATCCCCTCGCAGTGAGTATGAGGGGAGGTCGAACACCGAGTGGCCTGCCGGATGAGGTCGGCCAGCACTTTGCTCACCGCTGAATTGTCGAGAGGATCTTGAGGCTGCATTTTCAAGTTGAGACAGGATCGCGCGGCGCTTGAGAATGACTCCGGGTGACCACCATCCGCAGGGCCTTCCCAACCAACAAGAGCTCGCATGGAATCCTCGTTGCTTTTGGCAACCTTAAAGATGGGCGTCGAAACGCAGGTCCTTGCCCGCACAAATCAGCATTGCGCAGATGCCTAGACTCAGCTCCGTTGCTCTTCAGCAGGATTGACCAAACCTTCAATCAGCTCCGTCGGAATCGAGGGCGGAATTAGTGGTCATCAGCTCTGACGACAGGTTCAGCTAGCCAAGGTACCGGCCGCCATTTTGGGTGCCGCCGGACCCCTGTCGCCCCCTCCAAATAGCTGCCGCGCGAGACCCTGGCAATAGCTGGCACACGGCAGCCCAACCCCCGGTCGAATCGAACATGAATGCAACCCACTATCGCGGGCTATCTTTGGGACTTGGACGAGAGCTCTTCTCGAAGATGTCGGATGCCCATCACCCCCTTCAAGTACCTTCAACTTGACGCTTCGAAGCTTTCTCTGCCACCAATGTCACCCAAACACCAGGAACGTGGCGCAAGATTGGATCAGGCGATATTGAACGTAGTCTGCTTACGCGCACCAACAATATCTGCGGGTGACAGGTCACAGCGAGAAGCAAACAGCACCAGACGACCCCACAAGATCAGGGACTCTTCATCCATGATGGACAGTTTCCTCTCTCGTCACGATCCCTTTGGTCACTCGATGTGGGTACTTGGTACAAAATAGGCGTGGTCTGTCCGTCAAATCAGCCAGCTTCACCCGAGACGGAGCAGTACAATGACTTGCGGAAGTTGCCTCGAGACAGCTTGGGTACCTGTGCCGACGTTTATCTGGAGTGGGTTCGCCGCCAAGGACGCGGTCCAGCCAAAATCATGGATGGCTCCACGGCAAGCTCCTCATCGTCGACGCAAAGGATGGCAGGGGCTACTTATTGGTCAAACAGCAGCAGCGTTGACAGCATTGCCGCATAGAAGACCGACATTGGAGGTCCGGCCAGCTTGACAAACTTCCCCAGAATATAAAAGGATTTCCATTGTTCTTTGTCTGCAACCTCGATTCATTGTTTCAATTCCTGCCTGCCCTGGACATCTCACGGTTGGCTAAGATCGTCTTGGTTTGTCGCCGGATCTTGTCATACATGAGATCCCTTGTTTCGTCTTGGTTCCCAGCCGTCGCACGAAACTCTGGTCCGACTGAGCCATTGGGCTTACTTGTTGGACAAAGTCTGTGTTCGGAGCGGATTCCCGTCTCAACACGTCACCATGCAAGTTGGACAGCTCCCTCCGGGTCCCGAGACAGGAAATTTCTACATCCCGATTTGCAATGTGTGTTTCACCAACACGAGCTGTGCCTTCTAGCCCTCTGACAGTCGGCCTAGTTACCATTCGACACAAGATGGCAGGCGCTTAAGGAATGGCTTAGCCGCGACTGTGAAGTCGACTACATTCAACTCTACCACCCCACCTCGGGCTGGATCAGGGTCAAGGGGCCATACAATTTTTATCGTGCATGTGGTAGGTGGCCAAATCGAAGCGTGTCCAGGACCTGCTAACACGCGCTCAGATCGTTTGAAGGATGGAGTGTTCAACGGCAGACGCATCATTTACGATGACAGCAACATGACGAGTGCAATCGTCGTCAAGGAAGTGCACAATGACGAGAACGCGATTCCAGTGAACGGTACCGTGAGGTCTCGCCAACCAACCCCTGCACCATTCTCTGCACAAATCGACCATCAACCCGCACCATACTCTTACGCATCCTCAGAAGCATCATCGTTTGAACAACAAGTGAGAGCCTACCACTACATGGCGCCAATCTACAGTTTCTGACTTGCAGCAGGTTCCAACGGACCTCGGACACTTCAGCCAGGGGTATGATGGCACTCAGATACAGGGAGCATGGTGCCCTGAATACCCTGCGTACGTGTCCAACAGTGGATTCTTTGCGAGCGCCGCGGCTCCAACCAACCAACCCAGCCAGGCTGTCTCTGTTGAACATAGACGAATCATAATTAGACGGATAGGACACAGCACTCCGGAAGACCAGATCAAAGCGCTCATTAAGCAAAGCCTGGCACGAGTTACCCCGGTAAAGGCCGAGCTCCAGAGGATCGACGTCCCCCGAGGATCAGGCAGTCAGAACAGAGGACACGCCTTTGCAACATTTCGAACCGCAGACATTGCTCGAAGCGTTGCTGAGTCGCTCAACGGCAAAACTTGGAACTCCCGTCGGCTCGAGGCGCGTCTTACTACGGAAGGTGTCGCAGAGGAGCAGGCGAGCCGCGCGTCTCCAACGCCGACCTCGAGTTCGAGTTCGCGGCAGAAGAAATGCGACAGCTCCAGAAAGAAGACAAGCGAAAAGGCGCGTGCGCCGGTTCCCTCGGGGTCTGCTAGCCGCCCTCCTGAGCCTTCTTCGTCTCGCTCATTGCGACAAGGGTCGTCAGGTTCCAGCAGCTTATCGTCAGCAGAGCCGTCATCATCGCGCCAGACGAGGAGCCAGCAGCCAGCAGGGCCGGTGATTGCAGACGGGACTAGTCGCAGGTCTCGGTCCGAATCGAAAGAGGGGAGACGAAAGTAGTCATTGTACCAACAGATGCGAGCAATTGAGATACCCCTGGGGAGCGCCAACACAGCTTGTTAGTCGGGAAAGCCAGCTATCTACCTCTAATTTGGGAAGAGCGTCTGCCAAAGGCAGAACTTGTCCCTGTTAATGCTGCCATTTAATTCATCAAAATCTATGAAATTGTATCTACCACTCACATCGACGCCTCCAAATTTAGTACTCTTTTGTAACACGATAGATAGCAAGACCTCATAGCCAGGCCTGTGACTAACCTGTCATCTACATACTGGGTTCTTCTATCGGTAACGTCTTGGACAAGTTCAACCGCAATGACCAGTCTTCGGCCAGGCGAGCCAAGCAAAGGGTAAGGGCGCCCTCGGACTCATGCGGTTTGCCCTACGTGTGCTGCATTTGTCAATGGATACCGTTGGCTCGGTTGGTCGGGTACCAGACCAGGCCTGGTGTGACGATTCAGGAATCCGTGCATGGCAAGCAAACAACGGTCCCAGATCCGGCAGTCGGGCTAGCCTCCACCTCGCTCTCCCACCAACAAATCGCCAAAGGATCCGGGACCAGCGGTGTTGCTACTGTATCCGAGACCTGAGGGGGCTCCTGGTCTGTAACCTGCCAAAGGGGATTGGACGGGTTGAAGACAGAATGCGATTCGGGTTTCGTATACGAGACGGTTGCAAACACAGCGCTGAGCTTGAGGCTGAAAAGGAGACCGGTGAAGCAGGGCCGCCGTGGAGCCAAGGGAAACAATCAGAGGTGCAACAGTGAGCAGGAAGGTTATCTGCATTGCAGAGGACCCTAGCGCGGGTTTCCGTCGTCGGGACACAGCCCTGGGCGGCCATGGAAGCGACTTTGGCAGCCGTTGGTTGCAGCAGCGGTTGAAGCGGGGAGGGGGGATCCATCATCCACCGGCTGCACGATTTGACGCCCGGTACATTTGATGTGGGTGGTGTTGAGGTTATGCTCGGAGGGAGACGCAGCCTGATCACCGCGCATGTACTCCTATCCCGGGAGCCAATCCCGGAGCATGCCCAGAGGACTAGATCTGCGGGCTTGGTGCAACAACGGGCCCCGTGCCCGACCCCGACGCCTCGGGCCCGCGGCCGATGCCACATTGACGGCAGAGGTCTCTGTCTGTCTAACCCCCACCGCACGAATCCATCCATTCTCGCGGCAGCTACCGAGGGAGAAAGAAAGAAAGACGCAATGTGGTGCAAGTCAACGTTGGCTCCCGCCTTGCCTGCCCCGACAGCGACCTCGTCCCGAGGCTCGACAGCAACCCCATCCCACCACCACCATCCCATTCTCTGCCCTACCACCACCACCACCCTCTTGAACCCTCGTCCATGGCACCTCCCAAAGCTCGGACGGAGTTCATGCACAAGATACGGGCACTTGTTTGGCCTCCTGCAACACCTACCCGCGACGAACCCCGCTCCAGCGTCTAATTAGCGACTGGCGCGACGACACATTGCGATTTTGTCTCTGGGCGCCGCTGCTGCTGCCGGGTGGGCGGTCGTTCATCACTTCTGCATTTGAACCGGCCCCGTGCGGATACCCACCCGGCCCGATTTTGCGAAAAGAAGCCTCATGACCTCGAAATTTCAACTGACAAAAAGCAAAGCTGGGGCGGGTACACGATTTTCGATCCGGGAGTCAACCCGCAGTGTTCGGTATCGGGAAAACCAGAGAACAAGACGACGACGTGCCGTGTCCGGAAACTTGCATGGGGCTGGACCTCTCGGTCTCTCTCTCATACAAGCAGCAAGGGGGCTGGGGCGACTTGGTCCATGACCGGTGAGCCTCACACCCCGGACAGTACGCCTTCACCGAGAACGCCCCTGCTTTCTCACTGTGTGACAACACATACACACACACACACACACAACCAAGTCCACGAATGGCGTATGGGGAATCTTGCTTCTGTATCTGCTTTTGATCATGCTCTCTCACTTCCCCCTGCTGCAGAGACAACGCTGCAGAGGAACGCTTCTAATGCTACCCAACGCCGCATGCGTACGTTCCATTTCCTCCTCTTGTGCATTCACCCTTTTCGTCCCTCGCTTGTCCATTCATATCACAGGTTCGTCGTGAAAAAGAGAAATCAGCCACCAAAGTCCATCTTCAGCGCAATGCTGGGCTGCCCGGTCGCACTCGTCGCGGCCTGTTCCGACGAGCCCTGCTGCCGTCCCCACCGGATGACCTCCTCCAGGAATGCCTTTTGCCCGTCGTTCATGTTGGCCACGACGGTCCGGAACGCGCTCTGGTCCACGGCTGCCAGCTCCAGTAATCTTGCACTCGTGTCTCTGTACGCGTCCTCGCCTTCGGACGAGGCACGCGCGAGGAAGGTGGGGAGGATAAGGGCCATGGCGACGGGGATGCGGTCGCGGGGGACGTTGCCCAGGTACTGGCTGAGCGAGTGCGCAATGAGGGAGCGGGCGTTCTCGGGATCCTCCGGCTCCGTGTTGGTCACGAAAGCGACGAGGCGCGGGAGGAGGTAACGGACGATGGTGTGGTCTGCCGGTGTCGTGTTGGCCTGCAAGAGCAGGGACCTGATGCAGTTTGCTGCAATCTTGGCGGTCTGGGGTTTTTTGTACATGTTAGTCACTCGGAAGATTATTTGAGGGAGGGGAAGAAGCAGCAGAAGGAGGGAGACAACATACCATGCGGTCCGTGAGGCAGTCGACGACCTCGTCGAGGTACCTTGCCACAAGCGGATCGTTTGCCGCCAAGTGATTCGTGCCGCCCGTAAAGAGAATCGTGCTCGCGAGCAAACAGTTCTTGACGCAGGTGAGCGATGTGGGCGCCTCGCGTTTCTGGGCGTTGAGGTAGATGGAGAGGAAGCGCCGCAAACAGCCCTGCAGCTGGACGTCCGTTGGCGTCGGGCCGTTGCCGCTTGTCCTGCCAACGGGCGACTTGGTCATGCTCACCACGAAGCGCTTCAGGGTGGGCAGGGATTGAGGCACAATGACCTCCTGGCATCCCGGGGTCGCCAGGATGGTGGCTAGGATATGGATGATGCAGGCGTGCAGGTCCGTCTTGATGATGGAGGGGAAGACCTCGGCAGCGTCGACGAGGGCGTTGAGAGACGAGCGGATCAGCAGTACCGCTTCCTCTGTCATCTGGTGGCGGACGGGCTGGTTTGCTTCCGTGAGATTGGGCAGCAGGCCGGAGAGGACGAGGACGATGATGCGCGTGAGCTCGAAAAGCTGGTCGATGTCGTCAGAGAGGTCGCCGTCGTCGCCCGAGTCCTTCTTCCGCGCGGAGGGGTGGGAGACGCAGAGGGCTCTCGCAATCTCCACAATCACGCCTTGGACGTCGAGGCCTTCTGTCAGGACAAGTCGGTCCAGGAGATCCATGGTCTCGGAGAAGATCGCCTCTCGGTAGATGGCGTGACCTGACACGCTGGGGTGCAGAATCTTCTTCAGGGCCTGCAGGATTGCCAGGTTCTGCTCCTGGGTGGCCAAGGAGTCGCTCTGTCCAGGGCGTGTAGCCAGGGCCTCAAAGGCGATGCCGAACAAGACGAAGAAGAATGCAACGGGCTCGTCACGATAGTTGATGTCTGAGCCCTTGGTGTTGCCATTGGTGTTGAGTCCCTCAGACTCCTTTCCGTCCAGCGCATCGAATACGAACTCGCTGTCCTGCTCGATGAGGCTAGCAATGGCGTCGACGAGCTTCAGCCAGGAGTCTTGGTAGAACTTAAGTAGGGTCTCGCGGTTCAATGCAGCGTAGATAGTATCGAGACTGCCAGAGAGTGAGGGGGGGCCGAGGGTCATGGAGATGTCGGGCTCGAAGCGCAGGCGGGCAAACTCTCTGAGTGACTCGAGCCACAGCGGCGTCAGGGTTCCAATGTGCGGTTTGAGGACGTCGAGAAGGTATTTCTGTTCAGAACTGGCAACTTGGAGCTCTGCCCAGGCCGAGAAGACGGCCATCTTGACCATGACTTGTGCGTTGGAGCTGAGGCCCTTGAGATCGCCAATACCGGCGTTCTCGTGATCCTTGGAGAAGTTCTCAAGGGCAGACACCAACGTCTTGAGAATGCGACCCATTCTGTCCACGTCCGTGACAATTCCCGTAGAGATGAAGCCAGCACAGACATTGACGGCTTCAGATGCAAGCTCGGGAGACGAGTCCGCAGCGAAGGCGGGTGTCAACGCCGAGCTGATCTGGGCCTGGTACTGCTCCAAGAGCATAGCCTCCTCAAAGTCGGGATCGGGCGTTCTGCCAAACATCTTGAGGACCGCGCCGATGATCTTGAGACCCCAGACTCGCAACTCCAGCACGCTAGACGTGGACGCCGAGAAGGCCATGCGGACGACATCGGCAATCTTGTTCTGGAGCGCCGTCTGGGCGGCAGACTCGCCATTGGTCATGACATCCTTTGCGATGAGGATAAACATGTCGTTGATGCAGCTGATTGCGAAAGTGGTCACTTGCCATCGAAGGGGCTCAACTTCGGATCCGGCCTTGTTGTCCTGGTCGTCCTTGGCCGTTCCGGCGAATCCGGCGACCTCCTCGTCCTGCAAGTCTGGCATGCCGCTCGAGCCCTTGTTTCCAGAGACGGACTCCTCCTTGGCCTTGGCTCTTGTCATCTTGAGGACGCCCTGGAATCTCGTGAGCCAGAGGGCAGTGTCCGTGAGGCACGTCTGCCGCATCCAGTTCCTGAGGATGTTGCGAATGCCGTCGTGTGTCGGCGCGTCGTCGAGAACCAGCCACAACTGGTCCTCGAATCCCTTCTCTGCAGCACCAATGACATCACTTGGATTTCTCTTCATGATGTTGTATAGGCCATCAACAGCAACGTCCCGCAGTATGGCGTATTCTGACTGGAGGTACTTCTGGAGAACCTTGACGTATTCCTCAAAGTTCATGTACCCCGGAGCATAGAGCGACAAATGCTCGAGACAGCTCAATGTCGCCCTCTGAACAAGCAAATCGTACTCTTCTTGAAGCTGGCCGACGAGGTTGAGGATAAGCTCGCGCGACTTGGTGGAGTCTTGCAGGTCAGGACCCAACACGTTGATGAGAGAGTCGACGCAGCGCGTGATGGCAGCAGTGGTCGAGAG